GTTAATGAAGCAGGACTCCATCCACAAGATTAGGTTGTGTTTTAAGCCAATCTCTTTTGAGATATAAAGGAGAAACAAGCAGAGAGACATGGGGACCTCATACCACCGAGAAACAAGAGCCAGGAAAAGAGCACGTCCTTTGGACCCAGGGTCCCTATACTGAGAAGCTCCCAGTCCAGGGGAAGATTGATGACAAGGACTTTCCTCCAGAGCCGACAAAAAGAGAAAGCCTTCCCTGGAGATGACGACCTGAATTCAGACTTCTAGCCTACCAGACTGTGAGAGAATAAACATCTCTTTGTTAAAGCCATCCACTTGTGGTATTTCTGTTACAGCAGCACTAGATGACTAAGACAACATGTATTTAAAGAAGTACATGAATTCAGCAAATTCCATTCCAGAAAACACTGCTGAGGCAGTGATTTTTTTTTTTTAATCTAGTACGCCAATCTTCAGGAACATTAACTCTACCTTCCATGGGTCCCTAGAAGTCAGTTTTTGGGGAGACAGCCCTTGCCATTTTGAACAGTTGGGCAAAAGGTCTACATGCAGAAGTCCCATAGAACCAGGGGGCTTAGTTAAGGGTCTCTTCCTTGCTAAGTGCCCAACATAATCCACTTCCCGAAGTTCTAACACAAGCTAGTAGCCTGTGATTTTTCCAAAACAAACTACTTTTGGATCTATTTTATTTCTGGAAAACCTGTAAAGATTGGTAGATTTCGAAGTTTCTCTGAGAGTTTCAATGTACGTGTGGGAGAACTTGGGGAGCCTGGTTAGTCTAAGTCCCTAAGAACCCTTCTGACAAATGGAACCCCAATTCTAGGGAGACTGTGAGTTCAATCCAAGCCTAGTCTTCCAGAAAAACCTCCATACATCACAGTGTTGAGCTCAAATTCCCAGCTTATCAATGGGAATACTGTCACAGTGGCAACACTGATGATTTCTAGCTCAAATCTGTCTTGTAGGATGTTTTTTTAAACCTTAAAAAACATATTTTTTTCATTTTAACATGTAATTAATTATTTCCTTAAATTGCATATCAAAGAAAATTTCCAAGTGTTGTCTGCAAGATCTTTAGATCAGTTTTTAAGTGTAATCTTTAAAGACAAACGAATATTTACTATCTCTTTAAAAATAAATGCTATATGTTACCTGAGTACAAGGTTATTTTTGAGGTACCTTATACCTATGACAATTTAAGTGATGAAAGCCACAGATTGTAAGCACAATGATATTGGACACATACTGGTTGCTTTCCCAGCATCCATGTTCCCCTTCCTCCTTTCCGACAGCTCCTGATTTTTTTTTAGGGGACCCACAAGATTGTGAAGGAGCTGGCTCCATTTCTCTGGCACCAGTGATTGACTACGAATGGGCCATGTATTCTATGCCAATTCAATTAGAGTGAATCTCAGGACTAGTTTGGCAATGCCAGGACACAGATGTTTTCTCTTCCCTGTTAGACACGAACAAGGATGCAAGTGATCCCAGGAGCCGTCGACGGTGGCTTTTACTTCCTGGAGCTTTATTCATTTGTTTACTCAAGAAACATTTATTAACATCTACTATGTGCCAGGTGTGAAAATATAAAATTGAATAAGACACGATCACTGACACCGTGATATTTCTATCTTAATAGGCGAAACAGGGAGGCATACTGGGAATGGGAGTAAATAGGCCAACATTCATAAGGATTGAGAGGACATATTCTTGGGATGGATCAGGTTGGCTGGTTCAGGATATTGGCTGGGGTAGAAGTGGATGCATCTGGGTATCCCTTTTACGGAGTTGATATCATTAAGTACATCTGCCTGCCCTGAAACATTCAAACATCTGTGGTTTTAGAAAAATCTCTTCTTGTAACCCAATTTCAAAGGGGAGGGTTACAAAGTGTAATAGTTTCTTCAATCACTAGCTAGTGTCTTAGTCCAAAGTACCACCTTAATTTGAAATCGGTTTTCTGGTTACATATAAATATCTGGACAGTAACAACAACAACAACAAAAACACCCAAACCCATTGCTGTCAAGTTGATTCCGACTCATAGCGACCCTATAGGACAAAGCAGAACTGCCCCATAGGGTTTCCAGAGATTACCTGGTGGATTCGAACTGCTGACTTTTTGGTTAGCAGTTGTAGCTCTTAACCACTACACCACCAGGGTTTCCATTTGGACAGTAGTATCAATAATACCATCTTTCATTGTTAAAGCAAACAAAACCATATATTGACTATACGTTAAAAATCAGCTAGAGACAAGAGACAACAGCACTTTGTGTCCTTACAGATGTCTTTTATGGGATACATCACTCTATGAAAGATTTGAATATAAACTACACACTTACCATTATGACAGTAACACTATATGGCTCATCTGAATTGATTAAAAAGGGAATATGTAAAAAACTAGAGTCTAGAGCAGGTATTCTCAAGAGGTAGGCCGGGTAGGAGGAACATCTTCCTAGGGTATCATTATTAGAATCATCTGGATAGTTTTTCTCACCTAAACACACCCCTACCTCACCCTGGGATTTCCATCTGGGCCCCTCTCTGAAAAGCAGTGAAGGATCACATCGCTCTTACTGAATGTCTTTTGTCTCTAGTGCATCAGAGTATGAACAGCAAACTGTTCAGCTGATGTATGATAACCAGAATCATTACTAAATTATAATGTATGTCACTTACGTGTATGATTTTATCACTGCATTTTCTAATGTTGGCCAAAGTTAGGACCAAAATATTATTACTGGTTACAAATCTAAATTCTGATGTAAATTTTATGGATCAAGTATTGTGGAGAGTTTATACAAAATGGCTTCTCCTAGCCAAGGAAAATGTAATGACCTTTTGCCTGGGTCACATGTAAAAATCAACTCAGAGATAAAGCGTTTGCTCACTATACAAGATATCCATATCTAGACAGATGACTCACTATGGACCTGTAAATATCTAGCAAGATTAATAGTATTGTTGGTTGCCTAAAGTACTTTACCCTAAGGTTTAGAAATGTGGGAATACGAGTTGAGACAGGAGCAGAAGATTCCAGGGCAGGATCTGACCAGGTTCTTGAACTTTTGTTAATACAAGTCCTCATAAAACTTTCTCCCGATTTTTGTACCATTCCTAAATTGTACTCAATGAATATAAGGCTATACAAATTACACAGGGGAAAAATGGCCTTCATATTTTGCCAATCTCAATCGTGTTGAAACTAATTCTTGTTGAAAATAATTCTGTCACCCCGTCTTATCGCGGAACTCATTTAGGCTTCAATACAGGCTTTTACTGATCTACAAAAATTAGCTTCTTAGGGCATGAAATTGTGAGATAAAAAGGATGCTTCATACGCTCTCCCAACAGATGTCCCAACACTTTTGGAAAGAGTTACAAAGTGATTCTTATGTTTTTACATACTCCTACTACATAGCTGTAGTAGAGCTTCTTAATTTAAAACATTAAGAATTAAAACACACACAAACATACACTTTTTATATTAACTCTCTAAATATCCAGCTGGGTTTTAAAGATCTGGATTATACTGCTGAAGTAGCAACAGCGCCAGAGATAGACATGTTGGAGGTCTTCAAACCTTAAAGCGTCACAAAACTTTAAAAAATGTAAAGTCTGTCAAGGTGGCAGCTTACTAAACTCCTTTCGTGTACCGACACAGGCATTCAAAATTTGAGTGTCAGGCATCGAAACAGTATTAACAAACAAAATGATTCTCCAAAGATGGAGGCTTTGGGGATGCTTTTCCTAAACCGCCTTTGGGATAATTTTCAAAGAGCGTTACAGACCAGAGGCAACCGTTAGGCCAGGGCGTCCACCCAGCGTCATCTCTGGGTCCGGGAACGGTAGCATTCTCGGGGTCGCGCTGACTGTGCGCCCCGGTCCGCCGCGCGTCTCCAGCTCCGCTCGGGGCGTGGGGACCTGCAGGAGATGCGTGTCAGGCCCCAAACCTGCATCTCGACCTCGTACCTTGATCCCTGAGCATGGGAGCAAACAGCACAGGTCCCTGTTAAAGTTTTGGTGGGAAGGGTCCCACGCAGAGCTTCAGGGAGTCAGTAAGGCTTGGAGCATCGAGGAGCTTCCCTCGGGTGAGCGCGCTTGCTTCAAAGCCGGGATCCCGCCCCGGGACGCTTTCCATCTGGCCAGGGCCGCAGAGCAGAGGAGGGTGGATAGCGAAAAGGAGGGACAGGGCGTTCGGGGAAGGTGAAATGCCCCTTCCTTCCCTCACGTGGGCCTCGCGTGATCGGCTCACCTCGCCGCGCTACGCCGCTCACGCCCGCGTCCTCCTCCCGCCATGAACACAGGGGCCTTTAGGACCGCGCGGGAGCCGCCGGGAGGGAGGCGGCCGGGTAGCAGTTGGGCGTGGCTTCTCGGAGGGGGCGGCCCCGTGGGGCGGGGGGAATCTACGTCACCGCCGGTTAGGAGCGCTGATTGGCTGAGACGCAGTGCGCGGAGCCCACAAGGGTCTCCTCCCGGCTTGCTGCTCCTCCTCTCCCGCCGCTCGTCCGCACTGGCTCGCGAGGAAACCGCTCCGGCGCCGCCGCCCGGCCCAGTGCGGACGACGGAGCGAGGAGGCGGAAAGAGGACCATTCGCTCTC